TACAGTATCTCACATAAGTGAGTACACCCCTCCCATTTTTGCAAATATTTCATTATATCTTGTCATGGGACAACACTATAGAAATGACACTTTGATATAACTTAAAGTAGTCAGTGTACAGCTTGTATAGTAGTATAGATTTACCTTCCTCTGAAAATTACTCAAAACACAGCCATCAACATCTAAACAGCTGGCAACATAAGTGAGTACACCCCACAGTGAACATGTCCAAATTGTGCCTAAAGTGTCAATATTTTGTGTGCCAGCCATTATTATCTAGCACTGCCTTAACCCTTTTGAGCATGGAATTCACCAGAGCTCACAGGTTGCTTCAGGAATCCTCTCCCACTCCTCCATGATGACATCATGGAGCAGATGGATGTGAAGACACCTTGCGCTCCTCCACCTTTTCAGCTTGAGGATGGCCCACAGGTGCACAGGTGAGTTTAGGGCTGGATACATACTTGGGGTGGTTCAATAAAAGGGGCAGGCATATCAAATATATTTTTTAAGCACTGGGCAGGGACTTCCTCAGCAAGGCAGTTGTCATCTTCTAGGTGTGTTTTGGGTCATTATCATGATGGAAAACTTGATAATGAAAACTTGCAGCCCAGTTTCTGCAGAGGGGCGATCATGCTCTGCATGGAATTCATGTTTCCCTAAATGAACCGAGCTCCCCAGAGCCGGCAGCACTCATGCAGCCCCAGACCATGATGCTGCCACCACTATACTTGACTGTAGTCAAGGGACAGTTGTCTTGGTGCTCTTTCAGCATGTGTGGCACCTTGGTGAAGAGCACCAAGACAACTGTCCCTTGACTACAGTTAAGTGTAGTGGTGGCAGCATCATGGTTTGGGGCTGCATGAGTGCTGCCACCACTATACTTGACTGTAGGCAAGGGACAGGAAGCTGAAGGTGAAGGTGATGGACTGGCCAAGTATGTATCCAGCCCTAAACTCACCTGTGCACCTGTGGGCCATCCTCAAGCTGAAAAGGTGGAGGAGCGCAAGGTGTCTTCACATCCATCTGCTCCATGATGTCATCATGAAGGAGTGGGAGAGGATTCCTGAAGCAAGCTGTGAGCTCTGGTGAATTCCATGCCCAAAAGGGTTAAGGCAGTGCTAGATAATAATGGTTGGCACACAAAATATTGACACTTTAGGCACAATTTGGACATGTTCACTGTGGGGTGTACTCACTTATGTTGCCAGCTGTTTAGATGTTGATGGCTGTGTTTTGAGTAATTTTCAGAGGAAGGTAAATCTATACTACTATACAAGCTGTACACTGACTACTTTAAGTTATATCAAAGTGTCATTTCTATAGTGTTGTCCCATGAAAAGATATAATGAAATATTTGCAGAAATGGGAAGGGTGTACTCACTTATGTGAGATACTGTACTTTGTATACGTCAAGTTTAAATGTGTTTTATTGCAGAGGTTGTAATTATGCTTCCCCAGTTAATGTCTAACATACAAGATAAATCCTTGCTCCTAAGATATCTTCGAAATGTGTCTCTTTTAAAATTTGGCCAAAAATAAACCGTTTGCATGAACTTACCAGCATGCACGATAAGAGTGAAAAGCGGAAGCTTTTTTCAACTCCAGGATTTCGTCTTCAACTTTTAATGTTTAATGTTCAAACATCAAAGAGTACATTTTAAAAATCGAAAAACTATTTTTATGGTGGAGGGAGGGTCATCAGGGAGCCTCAAGGAAAAATATTTGTAGCTTCAGGGAGGGTCCAAAAAAAAATGAAGTCACACCCCAGCCACCCCTCTTCTCTGATAAATAATGGACAGTCCCTCATTGCTTTCAACATTATGTTTTCACTGTGCAGGGTCTTCAAATTAAGTTAAAATCAATTTTGCAGGATGATGTGTAACAAAACAGATGTGATGTTCCCTATGATGGATTATCTTTGGACAGTATACGTATTAAGCTTTTTCAACACATAAACACAAATGGCTCCAGCAATACAAATTACACACAGTGGCCACAGGAACTTAAGCTCCAAAATACAACACTAGTGTAGGGGTGGCTGTTGGGTCAAGAGGTAGAATGGGTCATCCACCAATTGAAAGATCAGTGTTGATACTGATATTGATATTCTCCTTGTCGGAGAGCCGGAGAGCTGAACTATAAGCTGAAAGATGCCAAAATGCTCCTTAGAGCTGAGTGCAACTGAAGAGTCAGGTGATAATTTTCTATAGGTTCATCACTACGAGAGACACTTTTTTCTTGCAAATGGAAATATTTCTTTCTTATTTCATCTATTGTGAGATAGCAGTCAATGTTCCATAAATAATTAGGCCACAGTAAAATCAATGTTGCGCTGTATAGGAGCAAAGGAGGAGAAACAAGGAGTTTTGAGTCTCTAATAGCAGCCTGGAAAGCTAAAAATAAAATCACTATGGTAAGCTTTTGAAAATGAAATAATCGGCAGTCTTTGTACTCTCCCAAACCTTTATTGGACTGCCAGTGTTGTGGTTGTAAGGTAAATTTAAGGAGTCTCAAGAAGAAAATTTTTTTCTCACGACTTTTCTCAAGTCATTGCTTTTTCTTCTGAATACTACAGTGATTTTACCTCACAGAATTCTGTAAACGATTCATAGGGAAATGTAACTTTTTGGTTGAACTGCTCATGGCTCATTCGTGACTTTTAATGAGGGGTCATGAGTGAGGTCACACGCCAAAAACGTGACATGCAAAATCACTAGTAATCTCCTCACCACTGAAAATCTCTACCACAGCATTATGAAAGCAGTAACATGTTAAAGGTTAAATGCCAGCTTGTAAAGTTTTATGAAAGTTTTCACTGATACAGTTTGACAAAAGGTGCATTGTGCTGTGTAAGCTGGTCATCATAAAGTTTAAAGGCCTTGATTGCAAATCAGTAAAGTTACATCCAGCTGCTGCTTGTGTCACCACTGTATCTTGACAGGGCTGTTGCAGATCTCAGGGAATCGAGTTGGAGTCCTCCTGTTGGCTGGAGGTCAGGGGACCCGTCTTGGTGTTCAGTATCCCAAAGGGATGTATAACGTTGGGCTCCCAAGCCAAAAAACCTTGTATCAAATTCAGGCAGAGCGTATTCACAAAATCCAGGAGCTGGCCGACAGAAAGTATGGCTCAAAATGCACCATTCCATGGTAAGATTATGATGGATCTGCCTAATCTGACTATTCTGATCATGTGTAGGCTTGTGCTTACAGAAGCCATATTGAACACATAGTGATATTAACTTTCTTTACTCTGTTTTAGGTATGATTAAAAAAAAAAGATTTGTCACAAAGATTATGAAGATTAAATCTAACTTTGAAATTGTAAACCTCTTGTCTGTACTGTTGCAACTCTTCAGGTACATAATGACCAGTGAGTTCACTCTGGCTCCCACTGAGAAGTTCTTAAAGGACAACAACTATTTTGGTCTGGAGCCATCAAACATTGTTATGTTTGAACAACGAATGATACCAGCAGTGACCTTTGATGGAAAGGTCATCCTGCAGGGTAAAGGGAAGATAGCCATGGCCCCAGGTAGGTGCACATCAGCTCCTTCAGAGGATGCAGACTCAGATATCAGTGAAATCACTTTGGTTGCACCTGTTGTTACTGATGTGTGTTCAGGATCGTTTGAGGTAATGTGCCATGATTCAAAACCTCTCCACTCTATGTCAGATGGGAATGGTGGTCTGTACCAGGCACTGGTGGACAACAAGGTGCTGGAGGACATGAAGAAGAAGGGAGTGGAGTACCTGCATGTGTACTGTGTAGACAACATCCTGGTCAAAATGGCCGACCCTGTGTTTATTGGGTTCTGCGTGAGCAAAGGGGCTGACTGCGGAGCCAAGGTAGACTTATATCATACAGTAGATATCAAAGAGGTAAAAAGTCCATTAAAGGAATAGCTTAACAAAGCATGAGCGCAGCCACAGCACACCACTGATTGAACTTTGGGTGCCTCTGCACTGTGTGTGCTGAACCCAGCGCCAAGCCTGGCTCAAACTGTGGTTGGTCTGAGGGCCCATTACACCAGTGTGCTGATAAAGAGGCTCTGACTGATTGTCATTACATTACATATCTGATGAATTGAATGATGATAGAGACATGCTGCAAATTATATGGCCAAGCAAACTTATTGCTGCATAAATTTAGTATGCGTTCTCGAAGTGTTAAATGTTCTCTGTTCACGGCCTACTGCACTACTATGTACACTGCACATCTGTGGTGGCAATATAAGAACAGTAGCATGTGTAAGCTCACTGTGGCCTCAGAAAAGCATCAGAAATCAGATGGATGGCACACAAAAGCCAACTTTTCAAAGAATTTTGTCTTTTCATTCTCAGAGAATAAAAAAAGTCAAAATTGTCCCGTTTTCCTCTGATCTCTTATCTTTATCATGTGTCAGGTGGTGGAGAAGGCATACCCTACTGAGCCAGTGGGCGTGGTTTGCAGGGTCCGAGGCGTCTCTCAGGTTGTGGAGTACAGTGAGATTCAGCCAGAGACAGCTGAGCTCCGAGGACCTGGAGGGGAGTTGGTGTACAGTGCTGGAAACATCTGCAATCACTTCTTTACCAGGGCTTTCCTGCAGGAAGTGACAGAGTAAGAGCCTTTACTGTCACATATATGTTGCTGAGATTCCTCTGACAGCACAGTATGGAAGTCACAGCAAGTGAAATCAGACAGATTGGAGTGAAAACACCACAGACTAGAGGGTTGGAGGCAGTCATGGAAGTATATAGACAACATATTGAGTAGCAAAGTTCACCAGGAGACGCCCGTATCTGGATATTAGGGCCATGTTTTTTCAGTTAAACTAGTATTAAGTGATCTTTTGGCCATTTGGGGCTGAGGGAACAAGTTGTAAACACAAAATGATATGCATTTCAATCAGGAGAGACTCATTTTTATAGTAAAAAGAATATTTATTAACATGTGCACATAAGAATAAAAATGTGGAAAGTCTTTGGTGATTAGACCCCATAGAGATGGTATGATTTAAGGAGGGTGATGAATCCATAGTCAAATAGGGAACCCCCCCTGGGGTCTAGATGCTGGTGGTGGTAGAGATGGTAAAGATGAGATAAGAGGAAGATGGAGAAGTGCTGATGATCTGGATGAGTAGAGGAATGAGTCTTTGTTGAGCTCGTCCTAGACTCTGGATACGATGGCTGGAGGTGAATGGGGTGGAGGAGGGCACGAAGATTCTGCCTAAAACGATGGCTGACAGCAGCAGAAGAGAGAGCAGATTTAAAATTTTGCAGTGGCATCCTGATTGGCTGAGAGAGATCATGTCAATTGATTGATTGGATAACTAGAAGAGTGGACACCCATAGTCAGCTGATTAGAGGAAGCAGTGGGTTAGTGGTGGTGTTAGCAATCAATTGCCCTTTTACAAAACATGACAGACACATGACACATTCAGAGCACAAAATTTTGTCAGATGGTGTAACATGGTCCGTTCATGTTTGTAGTAACCTACAGTAACGTATAAACCAGTGTCATGTCAATTTGTCTGTCTAACATTGTCCATAGCAAAATGTTTTTACAGCAAAATGTTAGAATTACACTTCACAACTTGCCAGACTGACATTTAAGTTTTGTGGCTATTCTTTGTTCCCAGAAGATTTTTAAAGATTTTGGTGACTCCCTGACCCACTGTGTAGCACCACCAGTGGGCCAAAGTTCACACTTTATAACGACTTTGGTCCCTAATAAATTATTTCAAAATTCATTCATTTTTTGTTATCGTTTGTCCTGTTATGGGTTGCAGAGGAACTCGAGCCTTTCCTAGCTGACATTGGGCAAGATGCAGGATACACCCTGGACAGGTCGTCAGACAACCATTTAGGCTCACATTCACACCTATGGCCAATATATAGTTGCCAGTTAACCTAGCCTGCATGTGTTGGGATGGTGGGAGGAAGCTGGAGAACCTGGAAAAAACCCATGCTGGCACAGGGAGAACATGCAGACTTCACACAGAGGGACTCCCCCACCCTGGGGTTTGAACCAGAAGCCCTCTTGCTGTGAGGTGACAATGTTAACCACTGCACAACTGTGCTGCTTAGTTTCAAACCTATAAAGTAAATGGCCAGACTTCTGTGACACAGCTGTGGAAATTCATGGCTCCCAGAGGATAAACCCTACATAATCTTTCTTTGCATATTGTTAGTTCTGTTTTTGATCTCCTACTATTTTTATCTTACAGGACATTTAAAGATCAACTGAAACAACATGTTGCACTGAAGAAAGTGCCTTTTGTGGACTCGTGTGGGAATCAAGTTACACCCACCAAACCCAATGGCATAAAGATGGAGAAATTTGTTTTTGATGTCTTTTCATTCTCAAGGTACTGTTGATTGTTATTGTGTCTTCTTCAGATAATGACATCTGATGTACTCTACATAAAATGACACAAATCATATAACAGTGTCTCTCCTGCTAATTAGAATATGTACTGTCTGTCTTTGGAAGGAGCTTTGTTGTGTTTGAGGTTGTGAGGGAGGATGAGTTTTCCCCTCTGAAAAATGCAGACGGAGCAGCAACAGACAGCCCGACTACAGCGAGAAACTCTTTGCTGGCTCAACACTGCCGCTGGGCCATGGCTGCAGGAGCTACACTTTTGGATGAACATGGGAATACCCTTCCTCCTATGGCCAGGTCAGAGGAAGATGTTCCTATATTCACCCTGCAGTAAAATAATGTCAATACCCTGGTCAATTTTTTTTATGGCAGACATTTTAACTTGTCTAGCAGGAAAAGCACAGATGGAACCAATAACATTAATAATGGTTTACTGTGAGAAATTCAAGTCAAGTAAATTTTATTTCCATAGCCCAAAATCAAATTTCATCATATTAAATATTAAACATATAGTTCAACATTTATGAGAATATGCATTGAAGTCAACAGTCTAAATATGAAGCTGGAGCCAGTCGGTAGTTAGCTTAGCTTTGCATAGAGACTAGAAACAGCTAGCCTGGCTGTGTTCATCTTTTTTTTTTTTTTAAACAGCCTACCATTACCTCTAAAGCTTATTTATTAAAGGTACACAATGCAGGATTTTCCATGGGCCATAGATTGTATATAAGGATGGATGACATGACAGCTCCCCAAAAGTGAAGCCCAAACATCTCAGTCACCCTCTGGTGTCTGGCTGCAGTACAGGTCATGTTAACAAACAGTAGCCAACAATTCTTGCAAGGTATACCTTTGACACGTTACATCTTGTGTGTTAATTCTGCATTCAAACAGAAATGTAAAAATGACAAGTTGTGGTTTTATGGGTAGTTACATGCTGAAACTATGTCATGGCGGGGCATAGTGGCTTCCTTGAGTTACCTGGTAACTACACAGTCAATGACAACAACTATCCTGAAAGTCACTGTGCTGGGCCAAGAAATAAATCCAGCATGTAATGTCCCTAAAACCACAACAATAACTTTAGACGGACTAGCTGTTTATCCCTGCTTACAGTTTTTATGCTAAGCTAAGCTAATTGCCTGCTGGCTTTAGCTTCATACTTAACAAGCAAATATGAGAGTGATATGATCCTCTCAGGACAAGAAGGCAAATTTGCTTATTTCCCCAAAAGTTGAGCTATTTCGTGAACTAGAAGAGTTGTTCTATGTTATGCTCAAACTCATCCTGTTAAGCGTACATTCGTATTATTTCTCCAATCATATATGCTTTGGGACAACCAGTCAACCTGTCCCATCATATAAAGCTGCCCTTGGTCAGTAGATCATGGGTGGTAGCAGTGAGCAGACCATTGAAATGGGTCAAAGGTGTGTGTTTGGATATCAGTTATGTTTTCAAATGAGCGTAGTTGAAGTCTATTTGTTCATTTACCCCTTGTTCTCCTGAGCTATTTTCTTACTTTGATGCCATCTGGTGGCAGTGCAACTCTGATACTTAAATTTCCAAATCTCAGAGTAGTTTAAAAATAAAAACATACAACTGCATATAGTTGCCTAAAGTTGCCTGTTTACCTGGACATTTAAGGATATTGGTAGCTGTAATGATTCCTCCTGCCGGTACTGGCCTTTAAAAGATGGCTTACCAATGGAAAACACAGTAAGAAATCAGGGACAAATCAAAAGTCTGCATTTTGTGCAAAAATTCTGAAATTGAGCCCAAGCTAATAACAGCTTATCAGGATCTGTTTTATTGACCAGGTATGTAAAAATACACATGGAATTTGACAGTTTTCTTTTTCCAATGCTCATAATTCACTGACAGTACACAGAAATAGATTTAAAAGCTAAGGACAAGGACAACAAAGCTGGACAACAGATAAAGGATAAAGGTAAAGAATAGACAGGACTATAATGTACACAGGTATATGGAAAAATATATAAATATATTTATACAAAGCACTAATTCTAGCAGTCTGAGTTACATCAAGCATTGTCTTTTTAGTATGAAATTCTCTATGTGAAAAGGTAAAATGATCACAGGGACCAGTGACTCTTCAACTTATGAGTGATGTATATGGATAAAAATAATCTAAAAATGTTTTTTTTTCCTATAGTGTATCAGCAGGGAACAATCCTCCAGCACAATGTGAGATTTCACCACTGCTCTCCTACTTTGGAGAGGTGAGTGACATGAATGTGTAAATCTGGTGAAACCTGTAGAACTATGGAGCTAGACCAGTCTCAAAATGAATAAATGCACACAGAAATTAACCCTATGGGCCCGAACGACACATAGTGCGTCCAAATTCACACCTGTTATTCTCTATTGATTTTCTCCGCAACCGTGCATCATAGCGAGAAGCTGCGCACATCACATGAAACAGCAGAATCATAGCTTTCCGACAAGACCAAGCACTTGTCGGTATTCCATTGTTTTCACAGCAAAAAAAATGATAAAGTTACACTAAAATCATGAATAACAGAGCTTTCATACAGCTTTGCACACACATTACTCTTGGATGGATTACTCGCGAATGCAGGCTCACACAGAAATGCCACTCGTATCACATGAAAGCGCAGGAGCAGAGCTTTCCAGTGATACCACATACATCATTGTGCTGTCATCCCATCACTCTGTAAATACAGATTGATTGTCTACAAAATAAAAACCTGACGAATTTCTTTACAATCCATTATACAGATCTTCACTTCATATAGTGAGGAATATCGTATCTTACCACGTCTTAGGCTTGAGTGTGTTTCTCCCTGTCTATCCACATTTGTAGTCCGGCTTTCAAGATGCAAATATCTCCATATTGTCCAGCTTTACGGCAAACAAAGTGGCAAATATTATCTTGGAGGACATCATTGCACTTGGTTGACTATTTTTCTATTATCTTAGATGTAAATATTGCATGTTTCTTTCAGGTAAAACACATTTTTGACTTGTGAATGAGTCAATGGAATTTCTTGCAATAATGAAAAAATACTGGCAATCATGTCCGCCTGGCACAAACCACATGTTTTGGACAACTGTGAAGTGACAGAATGTCCCACCATCATGGTTCTTATATTGCCAGATTCCAGAGAGTCTCCCCTCTTCATATATGGCAGAATATGTCATTTTCCAACTTGCTATGGTGAGATACATGTAAAAATGTAAGAATTTAGTCACACGGATTTGTTTTTTTCATTGATATAAAAATTAATATAAAATACAGGCACATAGAAGGACATGAAATGATGCAAATCTGGTTAGCCCAGATTGTCCTGAAAAAAACAGGATATAGCATGTGTATGTAGCCTTTAGAATGACCGTGATATGAGCTTAAAAGTAAGGGCAGTAAAAATACCCCAGAAACGCCTAGGGCCCATAGGGTTAATAAATGCACAAAAAAGGATTCACAAATGTATTTTGGGATTTAGATTTATATATATATGACTCAAAACATGAACACATTTTGAATGCACACAAAAATATGTTTCATTCCATATATAAGTAAAAGAAAATCCACATATAAAAAATAAGGTTTATAAACATATTTGTGATGCACACACAAATATTTCTTGTTTTAAATATGTGCAATTATAATTCACAAATGTACCCATGTAAAAGTATTTGCAGTTTTCATCAAATACATATTTGGAAGTTGTTACATTGATATATGAACTGTCGAACCTGCATTTACAAAGTGCTTTTAATTTGTAACCTTCCCTGTATTTGTGTGAGCGAGTTTTGAGACTCCCGCGCGTTTTACATTTGTGAATCCTTTTTTGTGCATTTATTTATTTCTGTGTGCATTTATTAATTTTGAGACTGTTCTAGCTCCATATAGAACAGTTACAGGATGTGTCTTTAATTAAGAAAAATGTCAATTGTTTTAGCTTGCATTTAAAATGAATCTTGGACAGTTAATATGCTGCTTTTATCTTGAGAATGATCCCTTTCTAATTGACTTAATACACCCACCCATGTCACTCCCTCTGTCAGGGCCTGGAGCAGCTGCTGAAGGGAAGAACACTGCCAACTCCCTTCATTCTGGATGAAAAAAGGGCCAAAGAGCTTCAGGCTCAGTAACATTACTCTGATTAAGAGAGTATTGTGTGACGGCAGCAGATAGTCCAGTGCCGTACAGTACAGGAGTATGGAATGGAGATGGATGTGTTTGGATAGTTTCAGCCCAAAAATATACAACTGTTTAAATTAATTTTTGAACTGTATAATCATGTCACACTGTAATTGATGAAATTATCTCATTTTAAGGAAAAGCTTCCACCTTTAAAATAAATAATTATGGGACTAGCAATGCTTTTTTGGAATTTATTATTTTTTTTACATATAACTAAAAAAATAATCCAAATTCCTCACCCTGTGTCCTCTCCCATCCTTCTTAGTAAATTCATTCTACTTGACTTGCCTACCTATTTAACTTGAAATGTCCAAGAGTTAATTCCAACTGTTTTAAGAGAAGTATGTGAATTTTTTGTGTTTTTTTTTTTAAAGAAATGTTGAGTAAACTGGGAGTTTTGAGGAATATTTACCAATATTATATCTTATATACTTTCAGAACAGTAGGCTATTATATTGAGCCAAAATAAATCATGGAAAAGCTTCATCAGCTTCCACAGAAAAGCTCTGTGGTGGACCTGTAAACTACAGAGTAGTTTTTAGTAGTTTTGATCAATTCAACACAAAAAATATAAGCGAATTTTAAAAACCAGGAAAAGAAGGTAACAAAAAGAAAGGGCATTTACTGTGACATGTGGAATTAGATACTGCTAAATTGGCATGATTTCAAATATGTACCTTTTGGCCCAAAGAATAGTTACAAGGCCACACGTAAAATATATTAAAAAAAACATTCATTCATTCATTCTCCATAACCGCTTATTCTGTTAGGGGTTGCAGAGGGCTGGAGCCTATCTCAGCTGACAGTGGGCAAGTGGTGGCCATTTAGTGTCACCAGTTAATCTGCCTGTTTTTTTGGACTGTGGGAGGAAGCCAGAGTACCCAGAGAAAACCCATTCTGACACAGGGAGAACATTCAAACTCAGCAGACAAGAGCTCCCCAACCCCAGGTTTCTAACCCCCCACCGCGGGCTCAAACCAGAAACCCTCTTGCTGTGAAAAAATGATTTCATTTAAAAATACAATAACTTCTCTCCAAACTAAAACCAATGAGAGTTAAAAGCATTTCTTCAGAACATGCAAAGGAAGAGTTTTTTTTGTTGTTGTTGTTTTTTTGAAGACAGTAATTAAAGTTGAAAGCTGGAAGGAAAGGTTTGGAGTGTGTGACAGTGTGTTTGGCAAACTTATCTATACTAAAAAAGAATTAAAGAGTAGAGGATTAGATTAGATTAGATTAGATTACTTTGTCATTGTACAGAACATACAATGAAATTAAGTTGCATTCAAGATCAGTCTCAGAATAAAAATAAATAAATGGAAAGTAAGAACAAATAAATAAATAAATGCATTCATCCATCACTCATACTCATAAAAGAGATAAAATAAAGTGGTCATAAAATTATTGCACATTTTGTTGTGATGTGATCCGGGGGTTTGTTTTCAGTTCAGAGTTCATTATGGTGATGGCTTTTGGATTGAAACTGTTCATAAAACGTGTGGAGGGTAACAGTTCAAACAGGTGATGGGCAGGGTGAAATGAGTCCTTTAGGATGTTGTGTGTCTTGTGTGTGAAAATGTCTTCTATGGCAGGTAGCTGGTGTCCTATGATGTGTGATTTTATGACTCTGCAGGGATTTTTTGTCTGCTGCAGAGCTGCTACCATACCACACCAGGATTCCATGGGTGAGGATGCGCTCAATTGAGCAGCAGTAGAATGACCTCAGGAGCTGTTGGGACAGGTTTATACAGTCGTTGTTGGGCCTTTTTGACCAGTGCTGTAGTGTTAACTGTCCATGTGAGGTCCTCTGTAATGTGTGTGCCCAGGAATTTGAAGCTGGACACCCTCTCCACCCTCTCCACCCTCCCCACCCTCTCCCCATTGATGTACAGTGGCAAATTGACATCCTGCTTCTTCCTGAAGTCAATTATGAGTTTTGGGGTTTTTTTTTTTTGCTATGTTTAGAGTCAGATTGTTTTCTTTGCACCACACTCTCAGCCCCTGTACCTCCTCTCTGTAGGCTGACTCATTGCCTTTGGTGATCAGCCCCACCACAGTCGTGTCATCTGCAAATTTAACTATGGTGGTGGCATTGTGAGATGGTACACAGTCATGAGTGTACAGAGAGTACACTCTAATCTAAAGAGTAGAATTAACCTGCTTACTAAGTAGGAAAGAACAATTTATAAGTTATCTAGAAACTGAAAGGACATTTATCTCCAAACTAAAAGGAATGAAAGAGTTAAAACTTATCTCAAAACTGAAAGGAAACTTAACTCTAAACTATAAACAATGAAAGAGTTAAAACCTTTTTTCTTAGAGGGAAATAAAAGTAAGAAGCTGGACGGAACAGTTTGGAGTGTGTGACAGTGCGAGTATGTTTGAGTGGTGTTATTGTTTTACTGTCACAGTCTCACACTCTCGTGGTTCTGGCAGGTACACAGTCTGCCATTCTGAAGTGAAAAAAAAGCTGGTAACCCTGGTCAAAGAAGGATCAAGAGGCCATTGCTCTTCTAGAGAGTAAGACAGTACGTGTGGAAGTGGAAGGGATCCATCACTATACAGCACACCCCTGCTCAGACGGAAGAATGCACCGCACTTCCAAGCCTCTCCAGAAGCCGTGATGCCAAGCCATAGGAGCACAGAGAGAAGGTTCCCGAAGGACTCTGAGAAGGCCGCAGCCTTCTGCGCTGACATCAAGAAGCTTGAAGCTGCAGGCTCTGTGGCAAAGCTGTCCACTCCAGGGACGGGAGAGTATGGGGAGTCATGGTTTATATCCCATCACATGGTTCAGCATAACCAGAAGAATCCCATCTTCTTCAATGCTCCTATGAAAAGAGGACTCAACCTGAATAGTGCTCTCCTCCCTGGACCTACTCTGGGGCCGTCACTCCATGGGATGCTGCTACACTTTCGTCAACACAGTGTGGCCATTAGTGGGGACATAAAGGCATGTTTCATCGAGTCCAACTCCTGCCCGAAGACAGGCCCCTATTAAGGTTAGCGTGGTGTGACCTGAAGAGAGGCACGCCCCCCAACATCTATGAGTGGCAGGTGCTACCTTTTGGCACGACCTGCTCACCCTGCTGTGCCACCTTCGTGCTTCAACAGCATGTTATTGACCATACCAGCTCAGATGAAGATGTCAGATTTTCAGTACAGAGATGTTTCTATGTGGATAACTGCCTGCAGAGCATTCCATTGGCCAAGGAAGCGTAACAGCTGCTAGACAAGCTGCGAGCCTCTATAATCTGATGTGCTATACTGAAGCTGAAAAATATTGTATTAATTCTTTTCTTTACACAAAGGTTCACATGAAACTTTTTCTTTCCCTTTTCAGTGCAAATGAGGAGATTTTGCTCCACAAAAAAATAGTTTACCCTTAAAAAGGCTGGTTGTCATTGCAGTAATATGATGATATATTACTGTATTTATTATATTTATGGTCATATCTTAATTATATGCTGAGAACATGACATTTGCGTTTTCACTGAGGTACCTGTACTTAAGTATTTCCATTTTATGCAGCTTTATACTTCTACTATACTACTCTCACAGGCAAATGTGTTATTTATACTCCACTACAGCTTTAGTTACTAGTTTCCTTTTATATCACAATTTTTCATAACTGTCCTGCCCAGTGAAAACCATTGGAGTGGTAACGCTAGACGCTACTGCCACATATCATCTTGCAAGAACAAGAGAAGAAGAGGAGCTGTTAACTTTACTGGTCAGAGTGTGAGAGAAGTCTTCTTGTCCTTTAAAGTGTCTTAGTTACAGCAGCTGAAACTCTTTGTCAATGAGGGACTTACAGCAACAGCAAAGGAAAGCTTTGGTACTGTGGAAAGAACCATATCTTCCCTCTCTGTTGTCTCTCTGTTGACTAGTCAAAACTGAATTCCAGATATCTGTAACCTCATTTTGACTAGTCAAAACTGAATGACAGATATCTATGACGTCATTCTGAATAGTCAAAACTGAATTACAGATATTTATGACGTCATTCTGACTAGTCAAAACTGAATTACAGATATCTGTAACGTCATTTTGACTAGTCAAAACTGAATTACAGATATCTATGACGTCATTCTGACTAGTCAAAACTGAATTACAGATATCTATAATGTCATTCTGACTAGTCAAAACTACAGTTACAGATATCTGTAATTCAGTTTTGACTAGTAAGATTCAAACTATTTTTGCCATTCATGTGTATGGGGTTTGTCATTATAGATATCTCCAATTACATTATGACTATCTATAATTCCAGTTTAAGATATCTACAACGTCATTCTGACTATCTGAAACTCAATTCAAGATATCTAGAAAGGACCATGTAGATATGTTCAATTGATGATAATTAAAGATATCTTGAACTTGAATTATGACTAGTAAAAATTAAATTGTAGATATCTCAAACTGGAATTACAGATATCCACAATTCAGTTGCAGATATCCGCAATAACAATTGCAGATATCCGCAACTACAATGGAGATATCTATAATGACAAACCCCATACACATGAATGGCAAAAATAGTTTGAATCTTACTAGTCAAAAGTAAATTACAGATATCTGTAATTAGAGTTTTGACTAGGCAAAATCTAATTACAGATATCTTGAATAAGAGTTTTGACTAGGCAAAATTATGTTGCAGATATTAGTAATGAATATCCAGTCTAGCGATTAAATGTTAAAACGGCTTGCCATAACACCAAGCATCCATAAGGTACAGTGGGTTCATACGTCATTCATGGCTGCACATCTCGGGGCAGTCCTCGCTGTCACGTCCCTGCCGGCCACTCTATCCTGGACTGTCTCGTGACTGACTTTAGCCAATCACAGCTGAGATTGCACAGGGACGACATCAATAAACAAATGCACTAGAACAATGTCTAAATTCAGATGCGATGCTTTTCGACTTATTTTTCATTCGGTGTTTAGCGCAGCCAAGCGAAACAAATAACGTGAAAGCCGCAGTGTAGCGCCGACGGTCGTAATACCGTCAATACCCTGGCGACATTAACGTTAGCTAATGCTAGCTATGTGACAGGACAGCGGCAGCTTTTTAACGCGTTTTTTTTTACTGTTTCGGAACTTAACATTACTTGGTTCTCTTGTTTTTACGCGCTGGATATTATTTCGCCATTAGCTAACGCCAGTACACACTGACTGTGCTGTCACTGACAGTCCTGCAGTCCGTACTCCAGCTGTAGATAGCGATGGGAGCTCTAACATGCTAGGACCATGTTCAAAAATGTTTTTGGCTCAGGGTTTCTGGTAAGAACAGCTCATGTGATTCTGACATGGGTCATAACTTTAATACTCTTCCTACATGATACAGGTAAGATTATCTCACGTCTACACGGTAACACATAATAGCGCCACACTGAGCAGCTGCAGGCTTGAAGTCATATTTAATATGTGGAATGAATGACAAGCTAATACCTGATATGTAATGGTATACCATACTCTGATGTTATTTTATAAAGAAGGCTGCTGCCCAGATTAGCATTCACACTATTAACTTAGTAGCCATGGTTTATGAAATAAACCTGCTTGTGTGGGAGTCAAGCTCGGAGCCTGGGAGCTCTCAGCAGGACTTGAGTGTGTTTCACTGAGTGAAATCATAGTTTGCTGTTTGTTTTGGTTCTTAGAGCTGAGGAAGCAGGAGGAGACAGGCCAGCTCATCCAGCCTGTGCTATTCGTCCTGCTGGTGCTGGTGTCAGTGTTGCTCTATTTCGCTGTCTCTCTGATGGACCCAGGATTCATATTGTCTGATGACAGCGATTTGCAGGTAAGTAATGATCCTAATATGTATTTGTATTATTAGGCATATCATAAATCTTTGTCAGAGATTGATGGATAGATGTGTGTAGATACCTATCTCTCCATCTACATCAGGGGAAGGATAGGTATCCATACAGATATCCATCCATCTGTTACTCTATCATCCATATTCAATGGTTGGACCCATAGATGTATATAGATTGGGTAACCTTGATCCACATGTCAAAATATGAGTGTTGAATGTATGAATATTGACAAGACTATAAAATTGTGTCAGTAGGATACCTGACAAATTAAAAGTACAAAGTATATCTCATTTAATCAAGGGCATTAGTTCAAAATGAACATAAGTTTAAAGTGCAAAAAAAGAGAAAATGTGCTATAGGTAGCTTAGCCGTAACACTGCGTTACAACTTACCACGCTGTGTGGAAATTTTATCCAGCCTAGCTAACACTTGCTGGGAGTTGGTTACATAGTTTTAAATGGTGCTATGTTTTAGGCAACAAGATAATTAAGACGATATATGGTTGGATTCGGTGACTTGCATAGACAGTTCAGTAATAATAAAAAAAGTATGATAAAGAAATACACTTAAATTGACCGAAATCACTGTTTTTCACTGAACTCCGCTAAAACACATCCAGTCTCTCTGCCACTGTTTGGTGTGCTACTGTTTGGTGGTATTGTAGTCAACTGGCTGGAAGCACGACAGGATCGAGCCTGTGTAACCTCTTAAAAAGTCCATGTTGCAATTTACCCCACGTCAGGAGGTTCCCTGCACTCCCATAGTTGAGGAGAAGTTGTTGGTCAAAAATAGCTGATGATGTCTGGGGCACAAATCTAAAGGGATAATAGTTGTGTATAAGATGGTGTAAAGATTAAGAAAACCACTGCAACCATTTTTCTTAACCAAACAGAAACATTGTATTTTATTTTTTGTTGTTTTATTTGTTGTCTTTCATAGTTTTATGTTTATTTTATTTTATTTAGAAAGGGACAGTGCACATTAATGAACCTGATCACTTAAGTCAAGTAAATGTGCCAGATTTAGCCATACAGGCTAATTTTCATCTGCAGTCCCTGGCAGATTGATGGTGTAAGTATTTATCAGAAAAAGACAAAAATAACATACAAAAGCACAGAAACACACAAGCACAGATAAAAGATGGATTGATGGCATGTCCATAGAAGGGCACATGAGCACAGGGCAAGTATATAACCATAGACAAAGCACAGAACAAGGCACATGGGCAAAAACAGCAAGATATAAGCACTATTAAGAAAAAACAATGACCTAACCACATAACCTAAAACATTAACTACTAAAGTACTCTACAAAAGTACAACATAAAACACAGCATAGACTAAAGCACATAGCCACAAACAAATACAAAAAGGCACAAAGCAACGCACATAAGCAAGGACGACAGCACACAAGCACAATTAGCAAGACAGTGACATCACCATAAAACCAAAGCACATTAAGGAAAACATACTATACAAAAGCACATAAGCCCCAACATACAGTAATGAAATGAGGACTTAAATACGTATTCAGATCATGACAACATGTTTGATTGTCCAGTAACCACCGTTTTATGAATTTGGAGAATGACTCGAGAGATGTGATGTACTTGAGTTTTGTTGACATTTATTCTTAAAAGGACTGGATACCTTACCTGAGAAACATTTATTGATTTTAGCTGACAGTATGTCTTACTGCTCCCTCATGCCATTGCAGATGTACGGTGTTGCAGTGCAAGTGTTGCATGCATTTGATGTATCCCTGTTTTGTAGCCATTACTTCTGTATGCTATGTAAGTGATGTATGGAACATAAGGAACAATCTAACATTGTAAGTGGTTTGTGTTGGTTTATATAATTAAGCAATATCACACGAGAGGGAGTGATGTTATACTCGTATATCATCACGGCTGTGATTTGGTAGTGCCGAAGACACAATCACAGCCGTTATTTTGTATTTGTGAGGCGGAGTGATACATACACAGTGAAATAACCGTGATGTTGTACTCCAATATCGTCACGGTTTTACTGTCTCTCGACCAATAAGATTGCAGGGCCGGAACTAACTGTTGTATAATTGATAGTATCAGGGAGAATTCAGGGAGAATTGAGTGTGCAGTAATATCTGGCTACTTCATTTGCCAGTTTCTCACAGATTTAACTGTTACCATACACCAGTTATAAAATACTTATGATGAAGACCCAGGAAAATGTCTACAACAAACCTGTGGAAAACACAATCTAAATTAGATAGTGAGGTTTTATTTAGAAAAGTTTTGCATGTTTGTGGGGACATAAATGACAAGTGCACATAACAGGTCATGATAAATGCTTGAACTGAATTGGCAGTGGCTTCTCTGATCAGTTGTCCCATGTGTTGTGCCAGTTCACGCTGGGAGTGACTGAGGAGCAACAGGACATGATTCCACCCACCACCAAATCCCTGCGACAGCGTCGCTGTGGCCACTGTCTGCTGCAGGTACGCTACACACTGTGTCATCAACACTGCCAAGGGCTCATGTGGCATTTGGTTGTTATTTCAGGATGAGAACACTTTGATGTGGATTAACACCATTAGAAAAAATGTCACCACGTGTATTGCTGCATGTTATTATGAATTGCATTTTTTTAAGTCTTTTTTTAAAAGCTTCTTTTTGGTCAGTTTTTGTGTTTTATTTCAGACCCTCTCCTATTTGAGCGTGAACGTTCATTCTTGACTTTGGAAACAGTAGTGCTTACTCATTTGTTAAGTATGGATCTTTGGTCACGTGTTTTAAGTTTTACCACAAATAATAACAGAGAAAGATCCGGGGAAGAGCACCAGATGTAGTACAGGACCTTGAGTTGAGATTACAGTTTTTGTAAAAACTGATTTTCTGAGCCTGTGGAATGGATTGTTTGTCTGTGGACATGGAGTTTGTATTTTGTTGTCTCTCTGTAGTGTTAGTTTAGCTCTACAGCTGAAATGTGACACCTGAAGTTCTACAGTACTTCTAGGATCCCTCAGCGGTATAGAATAACAGATGGGTTGCCAAGCATCCCAGTTCTATGTTACACACCTGTACTACTTCCAGTGAACACAAAACATCATATGATACAGGCGCAGGCAGGTCATTGTGTACAGCAGTATGCAGGAATTGGATTGTATGTCTGTATTTTGCCTTTTACCTTTTGTCTGTAACATCCAAGATGATTTAAAGCACAATCCATAATCCAAAAGTTAACCGAAGTTAAGCCCTACTGTCAAAAATGAAAACACAAGGTTGGAACCTGGTATCACTCTCAAATCAATTGACAGGTCTTTTAATACAGACTAACATGAAACAACAACCAACTCTATCTAGAGCTAAAGTGTTCTGGATGTCTGTATAAACAGTAGAGAAAAACCTCCTTTATTTATAGGTCATTATTTCAACCTAAACCTATAGAACTTGTAAAGCCAAATTCATTTATTTTCCTTAGCTGCTTATACTGTTGGGTCACGGGGGGTGGGGGCTGGAGCCTATCCCAGATGACATTGGATGAGAGGCGGGGTACAACCTGGACAGGTTGCCTGACTATCACAGGGTTAACACATACACCATTTGTGCTCACATTCACATCTTCGGCCCATTGAGAGTCACCAACTAACCTGTATGTTTTCGGATTGTGGGAGGAAGCCAGTACCCTCTCAGTACCCTGAGAAAACCCATGCTGACACGAGGAGAACATGCAAACTCCGCACAGAGTTCTGGGTTCAAACCAGCAACCTTATGGCTGTGAGACGACAGTGCTAACCACACCACCACCATGCCACATACACATTGATACAAAAAAAATCTGAACCCAAGGTCTTTTAACTGGCTTTTGGAGCTTTCAACCAAATCGCACAGTCTGTGTCAAGGGTCGAGAATGATCTTCTCATTCAACATAAATGGTCAATTTTAATATGCCCCTGGTGCCCCTGTGTAAAAAGCTCACTGGGGATCAGCAACATATCAGCGGTACATCAGGTGTATTCTGTACTAGTCAGTCCTCAGCTTCCATCAGAGTGGATGGAAATTAATGATTCAGAGAGAGAGTTGTTTCTATTGTGATATTTAAAAGCAAAACTAAATCACATGATCAGGTTTAGTTTTTAAGTGTAGGCATATTTCTGTTCTAAATGTCACCATGGAATGTTATCTAGGTGCTTTTTGAAAAGCCCAGATATGTATTTCCATGTTTATTTTGCATGTAGCTTTTTTTCCTCTCCTCACATTGTCTGCATGTTTTTATTCTTTATTAGTGTCCGGGCAGCTAAGCTGCCAGGACACTATTGTAATCCTAGGTATTCTTCTTCTTCTTTCTTCTGAGGAAATCATACTTCCCATGGGTGAAAACTCACCAAACTTTGCACAAAGGTCCAGTCTCATGCCAGATATCCTCAGCTGTAAACTCAAGCCAATAGTCCTGTTGGTGGCGCTACAGCAAGCATCTAAAGTTCTAAACTTTGAAAATTCGTAACAAATCAACCATACGTGCTACAACTTCACTACTTTCATCAAACTGTAGCCCCAATACTGAAGAAACTTTTGTACATTTAAACCTATTAAAAATTATGAAGTTGATCACTCTGTTTTTTTTCAAAAACTGTAAAACTTCTTAAACCTATCTCCTCCCACAATTTTTGCTCAATTGACACCAAACTTGCTACAGAGCATCTTCAGACTGTCCTACACAAACTATGTTTCTCAGATTTTTGATTTATCAAAAAATTAGAGTACATGCAAATTCTTGCTAAATAAATCTTCAATGTCATGAAAAAAATGACAAAATTCTAGAGTCATGGTAGATGATGTGTGACAAATTTCAGAATTTTATCTCAAAAACTGAATTTTTGACAGCATTTTGAATTTTGCTCTAATGTGAACAATTGAAGTCAATGTTAAAATGACAATATTAAAAAATAGTTTTTCACTTATGGAGCAAATCAATCATTGTTACAAACAAATTACCAACATCTCCATGCTGTCTAGATGCAATATGTATATTTTCAGATTTTTGTTTTAATAACTGAATTTTTTACAGTGGTTTCAAATCTGCCTTTCCATGCACGGATGGCTGCTTTCCTACACAACAGTGAATGGCTTACTCAGTTTGTGAAGCCACTGTTGAGTTGCTACTTGCCAATTAGCTCAGAGCAGTAGATGACCGTCTTAGGTTCCAGAGGTTGCGGTTTCGAGCCTCAACTGGTGCAGAATCCACATTGTAATGTAATCATCTTCTTGTGCTCCAGCTTATTGCTTAAAATTGCCTGAGCGTGACTCATCACTGTGCAGCATCTTCAAGTCTTTTTTCTGCTAGAAAGTCTGCCTTCTCATGCTTGAAAATAAACCAAACTTTGTTCAAAGACCCAGTGTCAGTACTTCAGTGTGAAACCATCTGAAGCTTCTCACTTTGCACATAGCTCAACTAGTTAAACATCAGTTTTTCCACTTATGGAGCAAATCAATCATTGTTAAAATAAATTACCAACATCTCCATGCTGTCTAGATGCAATATGTGTATTTTCAGATTTTTGTTTTTGAAATCTGCTTTTCCATGCATGGACGGCTGCTCAACCTGCACGTCTGACTTAGTCAATTTGTGAAGCTACACATGAATTGTCTCTGACTAATTAGCTCAGTGAGATAGAAATTGATTCTTAGTCTCAGAGGTTGTGAGTTCAAGCCTCAGCTGATGCAAAAGGCAGATTGTGTTGCTAAATTCCTAAATGTCTTCCAATTCTTCTGCTTGTTGCTCAGAATTGCCTAAAAATGTCCGGACCTGACCCATCGCTGCGCTACGGAGAGCGCAGACCTCCGCCAAGCAGCTCGGATTTCCCGCCTTTTTATTATTTTATCCACTTCGCTTCAACCGATCACCACCAAAATTTTATCATCCGTTCCTTGTCCTATCATCAACCTTTCCTGAAAATTTCACTAAAATCCGTTCAGAACTTCTCAAGTTATTTTGCAGACAAACAGACAAATGCCGGCGAAAACATAACCTCCTTGGCAGAGGTAATAACTGATTTACTAAGACAGTACTGGGAGGGAAAGCATGTATCATAATCCCAAACATTTTCATTGGGACATTGCGTGTATGGTTCATTCAAGGTATACAGCCTCCGAAACCTCATTACAACTTATTTTTCCAGGCTGAAGAGCAACAGCAGCAATTTTTTTTCACATGCATGGTTTCACACAGAACACTGGTCAGGGCTGGTGTAGGGTATAATCAAGCCTGGCGCATAACCAGTGTTAAAACAACAGGGTTAATCTTGATGCTTTTCACTCAGCAGCAGCCAATGAGATCAAAGCACTGCCAGACATGTCAGCACTGTGTCCGCCGTTATGACCATCACTGCCCCTGGATTGAGAACTGTGTTGGTGAGAGGAACCACCGCTGGTTCGTGCTTTACCTTGCTGTCCAGCTGCTGGTGCTGCTGTGGGGGCTGCACATTGCCTGGTGAGTACAACACTGTCACCATCAATCATGCCACTCAGCTGGCAGATTTATGCTGCAGTTGTGAAGCCTCAACAGACTGCTTATGTCTTTGTTTCATCAGGACAGGTTTCAGTTTTGCGCCCACCTGGCAGCTGTGGCTGCGCACCAATGGGATGCTGCTGGCCGTGGCCGTGCTGGTGGCTCTGCTCTCGCTGATTGTGCTGCTCCTGCTCGGCTCCCACCTCTACCTGGTTTCACTCAACACCACCACCTGGGAGTTCATGTCACGCCACCGCATCTCCTACCTAAAACACTGCGGTGTTGATGAAAACCCCTTCGACCGTGGCACCTTCCACAACCTGTGGGGTTTCTTCTGTGTATGGGACACAGTGGTGTGGGAACAGGTGTACTTCAGGGAGGGCAGCGACCAAGTCTAGGACATTAATACCCATTGAGAAGGGTTTCGCTCATTAACAACCTCTCTGGATTTTAGGATCAGACACTTGACCACAAAGTTGGGAGATAAACTATCTATGTGTGCAGTTTACCTTTATATAGACACTTGTATATAGACTTGTTATTTTTCCATAACTCTGCAACATTACCTTTTCTTACATCTCTCCTGCAGTGTTGTTGTTGCCCACAGTTCCTGTTTTTTTCCTCCTCTTCTCAAGTGGTTGTCAACAGAGTAAAAATTGTCTTGTGTACCCACAGAATGATGTACCTGCTCCGAGTTACCATCTCTGTGTGGACAAAAGTTTACCAGCACTACAGTCCTTACTCTAACAATTGTTTACAACTATTCAAGTATGTAATACCTTTCCCCTTAAACAGACACTTTACTGGTTGATTTTAAAAGACTAGTTCAGCCAAAAACAATATAAATTGTACTCAAATCCCCAGACTTTCTGTGGCCCCAGAAAAGGTTTTTTTTGAATGGCGTTAAGGAGAGTGAAGCACCGAAAAAACTGAAGTGTATCAGTGCAAACAGACTTTGACGAAGGCCAAACAAATGGCAGTGAAGAAGGTTATAAAATGTCCGGAAAACCTATGCTGTTTGATCGGCCTCCGTTGAGCCCTGTTGTTACTGACATGCTTTTTTTGGGGGCACCCTGCTGACCTTTATGCCCTTCAATAGAACACTTTTGTGGCATCTCCTGACATGTGGGGCACTTACTTATGTAGGGGGGTTATGCTATTGGAATAATGAGTGTGGGAGACATATTGTATCTACTTTAACTACTAACATTATCTTACAGTTTCCTTACATTCCTTTGTCTAAAATTTTAATTTAAAGGATGAGTAGACCTACCAGTCACAACACAATAGTGTGTCACCAGACAAATGTAATGTATAAGTTTCCATAAGTAACATACATATCATTCTTTAAGTCCACAGAGAGAAAGTGTACCTCCAAAAGCAGGCTACATACAAAAGAAAACAATGCACATTAAGAAATACAAGCCCTATTTAAATCATCTAAAGCACATAGTCTAAAGTGCCTGTTGCAAGTGCACGTAGAGCGTATCCAGCTCCACTGTTGCTAGTTAAACAGGGCTGTATTTAGTCTCAGTTAATTAGGTCTGTTTTGGGGATAACATGAATTCAACCAGGCAGAGTGTCTCCCATTCCCTTTAAAAATCAGGTGGCCCTGCACCTGTTGCAGTGTTATTTATATGGTGGATTTTGCAGATCGGAGAAGTGAGCAGTTTTCTGCTGAGAGTAATGCAGTGAGAGCAGTACTGTCACTGCAGCAAATATATAAAAGAAAACAAAAACTGTAAAACTGTGTCTGTACTGGCAATTCTGCTTTGTGCTGGGTGTAAGAAGGGGCCCAAATCACATTGTAAAGTACCAATGAAAATAAATTAGCCTAAGGTTCCACCTCTGAGTGGGCAGATAGGGTTGCCACCCCCTGGACACGCCCCTATCTGGAACGATAGACAGCTGAGGGAGGTGCGTACTATATTCAGTTTATATTGTTTTTGGGTGAACTATTCTTTTAAGGTTCCAAGTAAAGCTAGTGATGAAGCCCTGCTGACTGAAGCTTGGTCTTTGTTTATGCACATACATCCCACTCAACTCCTGCTCCTGTGCTGTGTCCTCTACTGAATTATTTACGTGAGCAGTCTTACCATGACACATGGTAAACCTGACTAATGGACTGTTAAATTGACTCTTAAGTTTACTTTTAATACATGTCAAATATTAAACATTTGATTAAAAATACTTGTTTTAGGTGCATGTGTAGAGAATCCACATGTATGGTTGGTATGGTTTCTCTGTTCACTCACTGGAATCAGATCCTGAGGAACAAGTCGGGGAATTCTTTTTAAAAATGGTACATATGTTGTTTTTAGTGTAGAAAGTTTACTTCTGTCTTCTATGTGATAAATTGCTGTAATTGCTGAGTCGTATTTATTCTGCAGAGGTTTTACAGGGTCCACCTACTTCAGCAGCTTTTGTCTTTTAAAAACAAAGCTGTTTCTGAAGTGAGAGAATGACAAATTCCATTTTTTCATCATTTTTTGCAAACCTCAGTTGATTTTAATATGAAAGTAGTAAAAACTGTGTTGTATTGTTTCTAGCATTTAATCCAACTATGATGTACAAGATGCTTTGACTTTCAATGGACAGCATTTCAAGCTATTTTATACTGTATATAATTTTTAAACAATTTTGAACCAGAAAATGTCTTTAGATTTTTGTATGACTATTTTAGTTCAGTAAGTGGAAGAATACTGTGGAACAGTAGCTAAGATTAAGTAGAGAGCTGAGAGTGCAATACATCGTCTGGTATTTCCATTTAAACATGTCTTTGTGCAATAGTAACCTTGTAAGACAGCAATAAATGTGGTGTTGAGTTCAATGTACAGCAGTAGTATTGGACAAAAGGCAGATTGTCTCCAGTCGGACTGAGTCATTATCAGGGAGAGCTCTGGTTTATATGAATTAATGTTGTGTACTTCTGAATAATATGCAACACTGTCATGCAATGTTTTTTACTACTTTGAAATGACTATACAACAATAAATAAATGTTTCATGAAGAGTTTCCTGGTCATTTAAAGTCCAGCAGATATAAATTTATTCATTAATATTTACCTTCATGCAGGTTACACTTAACATATAGGCTGGTTTGTTTCATATAAGCATAATCTTCATGAGAGTATTACTTAAAAATCGGCATATTGACTGATAAATCTCTATAAACTATTTGGCTATTTTCAGTATATAATATCCCAACAACATAAGAGGTTACAACAGATGGATGTATAATGGTTGCACCAAATAGCAGGCTGTACATTCATTCTTTGGCCTTCAGTTTTCTTCATTAAGAGCACAAATATTTACAGTTCAGATTCAGAGGGCAGTGCTGATATTTGACATTACTGAGCAATGTCCATTTGTAAAAATATTGCACTGGTGATATAGTTCATTTAGTGTAAACAATAAATGTTCAGCCTTTTGATCCTACAGCTTGATGACAGAAACAGTCAGCATGGAACATTTCAAAATCAATTTGGCATAAACAAACAAACAAAACAAAGTAAAAACTAAAATACCCTGCATGCCTCATAATGAGTCAGTTCTCCAGCAGAATGAGCCTGGCTGCAGCCTGCAGACTTTGTGGTGTGTTGCAGTGAACAGGCAACATGGATGATGTGACATCGGGAAATATGGAACTGTGTGGACATGAAAAAGGCAGGACTGTGGTTTCTGGTCTGGTCAGCTCATGTAAGAGAAGTCAAAATCGGCAAAGATTTCTTGTTGCTCAGCAGTGAGGGCGCAGGGCGTTCGTGGGAGGGTGAGGACTGGCTTGAGGCGAGTGAACTCCTCATCAAAGTTACTGACGTCCTTCAGTGCTTTGATGACCGGTAGGAAGGGAGGCTTTATCTTTTTGGCCAGGAGAGCGCCCCAGTCCATTCCCTATCAACAGACAAAGGGTTAATGAAAAGCATGAATAACAAACAAACTCAAACTTACAAAAAACTGACATTCAATCTGCAGTCTGTGCTGTGGAAGAGCTACCTTGTTGCTCACATTGGTTTACAATAAAAATATATTTGACTTGTTTGAAATGTTTTATCTTTTCCACAGCAGCCAACATTTTATCTGCTTTCAACTCTACTGTTTATACACAAACTGCCTCAACTGCTTTCAGTGCTTACACTTAAGCCGTCACTTAAAGAAGCTCACTCTTCATCGCAAACAATTCAACTGCTTCTGGCACTTACACATCACTGACAGTTCCACAGCTTTAATTTCTGACATTTAATCTGATTAAACACAGTTTAGCTCATACATGATTTTCCTTATCTCAGCCAACACACTCACTGACATCCTCCTTCAGTTTATACACTTGAAGAGGCAGGAATTTCTTTCAAGACTTTCACTTAGACAAACATTTCCAGCTTAATTGAGTTGAAAACAGGTAATAAATCATATTTTTTTATTTTTTTGCAATACTCAGCATATCACATCTGTAAATGTGCTAGGAAAGGTAGTATCAGCATGGTCACTACCTGGAGCTCGCATAAATGGAGCCTGGGTTTGGTTGAAGGTGGCAGTGCTGTTTGTGCTGAGAAAGCCATGTGTAAGTAAGGTAAAGGAGGTTTTTGGGTTGGTGCGGGGAGCAGTGAGACCTGGCATTAGAGGAGTGTCTCTGGGAAGCCAGAGATCACTGTCTAGCCTCCTGGAGGTGTCGTGGGACCAACTAGACGAAACACTGGTGAAAGGAGGTTCCCACCTGATGACCCCAAAGACAAGTTAGTTATCACTGCTCACTGGTCTGAATAGTTAAGCCTTGCCATAATAGTTTATCATAGGGCTTAGGAGGTTATTCACTGAGCGCTGAGCCTTTATCTAGAGCACAAATTTCTTGTGTTTATTTGAACAACACATTTAAAATCGCAATAATATTGTATCATGAAGCCTCTGGTGATTCCCATCCCTACTCCTTTCAGTGTTTGAACTTCAACTTTACTCAGCGCTTACACTTAAATTGGCATGTCACAATCTTTCAATGCTTACATTTGAACTGAATCCTTTTCACTTTCATTTTAACTGCAATTCAGTATCTGAATTGGTGACCTTTGACCTTTTGATACAAAATGTCATCACTTCATCATTTTATCTGATAGACATTTGTGTGAAATTGTCTGCATTATTAGCATATGCATTCTTGAATTATGGCCAAAAAAACATGTTTTGTGAGGTTACAGTGACCTCAACCTTTGACCACCAAATTCTAATCAGTATTTTAATCATTACATCAGTGCGTCCAAGTAGATGTTTGTGCCAATTTTGAGGAAAGATGTTCTTTAAGTCCAGTTCAGACCAAGGTTTGTGATGAGATGAAACCGCTTTAGAACGATGCAGAGAAAAGTTGGCCGGTGTGAGCTTGACTCAAGCCGGCAGCTGGTTCATCACTCTCCACAACAGTTATTTTTTCTAATGTTGTCAGCAGTACACCTCACCAACACATCGTAAGTGTGAGGGGTGCCCACAGTGTTTCCAGAATTTGCTTCTTCTTTGGGTCAAATTTCTTTGTTCTTAAAATTGTGAAAATTTTCAAGAAATTGAAATCTCTTCATCTCGGGAGGGCAACCAGAGCTCTGGGAATTAGAAAATATGAAATAAAGAACTAAATTATAGAGCTCTCTATTGAAGTTAAAGTACAGTTGTTTGTAGGGGAGGGGAAAAAAAATGGTGCAGCATGGTATCACAATATTTTTGTGTGGCAATATTGTATTGTCAGACAGTGCCAAGTATTGATTTTTTTTATCATATAAATTATTAATATAACAAATTCAATTTAATCTTTAGGTAGCCTAGTAGAATAATATAATCAATTGCTTTAACATTTTGCTGCTGCAAAAAAATGACTTAAGTGAGATGAACAGACTGAAAACTTTGTTATTAGATAAAACTTATGCTGACAAAGTTTTCCTCTGGGGACATAATTTACAGTTGAAAAAAGGTAATAAAACCTAATATATCGCATGGTGGTGCAGCACTGTCGCTTCACAGCAGGAGGGTTCCTGGTTCAAATTCAGGGTGAAGGGTTCAAATCCCAGGGTGGGGAAGCCCTTCTGTGTGGAGTTTGCCTGTTCTCCCGCTGTCAGCGCGGGTTTTCTCTGGGTACTCCAGCTTCCTCCCACAGTCCAAAGACATGCAGGTTAGGTTAATTAGTGACTCTAAATTGCACGTAGGTGTGAATGTGACCATAAATGATCATTTGTCTCTATGTGTCAGCACTGTGATAGTCTGTCCAGGGTGTATCCCGCCTCTTGCCCAATGTCCAGCCCCCTTGCGACCCCTAACAGGATAAGTGGTGATGGAAAATGAATGAATATCGCTGTTCATTTTATCACAATACTCAGCATATTGCAGCATTTTAAAAATTGCAATAATCGTGTATCGTGGATCCTCTGCTGATTCCCACCCCTTGTTGTCTAAAGAGCAATCAGTCAGAGACTTGTAATGTTTTATAGTTAAGAGGTTACAGTGTAAGGTGGTCAGCAGTGTCTGGCTGGATAATGACCTGAAAGAACTTGTGTCTTTTGATCTCTGCAGCATCTTCCTCTCCTCCTCCAAGTCTCATCTCAGGATTTTTCTGCAGCAGCTAAAACACAGTGAGAATGGAGGGGAGTCAGTACACAGGGGAGCAGGACACCCGTATAAAAGATCATGAGAAAACTCCTGTGGAAGACTTGAGATCCATTTGATAGGAGGCCAACCTTTTGAATGAGTGACACAGACTCAGGAGAAAGGAAGCGAGGGT